GACCCGTTTCCACGCCTTTACGCCTTTTGGGCATATAGGGCTAGACCTATATTTTAAAAGATCTATCACACTTTGTGTTTTTTTACTGACAAGGTTATTTAATAAGGTGAAATTTTGTTGTTGTTGTTGAATACTGAGTATTCACACAATCCCATCACATACAACAAAACTTGTAAACAAGTTGTAACAATTTTACTACAAGCCCTAGAACATCCTATTGCACAAAAATTGTAGATTTCCTTACAAGTCATAATTTGCAATCCCTTAGAGTCAATTTGTTTGGTTGAAATCAATTATAATGCAATAGGTTCTATTTTAGAGTTCCTGAGGGACCTTCTGCCACAAAATATGGTTGACACGCCTCATTGTGATCTACAGCTAAGCTGTGACATCTGCACCTCCCAGCCCCCAACACGTTAGATTTCAGCTAACCTCTAATTAGTCACAGATCTCACCATGGATGTTAGAGGGACAGCGGGTCAGTTCTCCTCCTCCCGGCACCCACCCCTCCCCACCCTTTTTTTCCCTAACAAACAAAAACAAATTGCCCTGAAACCTATACAGCAAGGGTACACTGTAAAATGATGCTCGGTTAATCAAATTGGAGTGAAGCAAAGAAGTGGGATGTTACTTGTTGGATAAATAATTGTATGCACAAAATTGTAGGACATAGATTTCACTGAAAAAGCCCTATGGTGGATTCGTTGACAATGAAATACTTAAAAGTCTGTGGAGGAAATGGTACCAGCTTCGACCAAATCGCAACGAGTCTACATACTGGTTTGAATCACGACTATCTGCAGAATGAAACCCAAGTACACATCGTACATATCCTGCTGGTTTCTATTGAATAAAGAATCGACACCATAGCACTCAGGACATTCCCATAAGTGCTCTGTCTCCATCTTCAGCAACAAGCGTTCTAAGAGAGTTCTTATTCCGATGGCACCAATAACAGTCAGATGGTAAATTTGTCTCACCTTTCCGTTGAGCGTTAGCCATATCCTTAGTCGCTCTTCGCAACACCATTCTCCTCAGACAGTGATGAAACCCATTAGTTTCTAATCTTGAAGAAGCGAAGGAGAGTTCTACAGCAGGGTCTCAGCGGAGCCAGTACTCTAGTACTAGATGGAGAGAATATAATCTACACAGATATCACTTCAATAGGCGCGTTTCTTTTCCAGACCTAAATGCCAGTTTATCAGACTGAAAGTTGGCATTCAAAAACTTCCTGAAGAGCATGCAGGCATGGTCTGTGCAGAGTGGCAACCATCACTTTAGAGGTCTTTTAGATATTTTCTCAAGGTAGTGCCAATGTGTTCGGAAATGAGCAGGCAGTTAGACTAGCCGTTTCAGCACCACTTGGCGGTGAATTCATGTACGACAAGCTAGATGTTGTGAGGGCCCTTTGGGATTGAGTGAACAGTGAGGAGGAACTGACAGATCACTACGGTCTAAGGAGAATGGCGCTGCGAGGTGTTACCAGGGGATCTGGCCGATGCTCAACACTAAAGGGAAAGGGGAGACGGAATGTACAATCAGACAGTTACTGGCATCATCGGAATTGGAACTCTTTGCTTGTTGCTGAACGTGGAGACGGAGCGTTTATACGAGTGTCCTGAGTGTCAAGTTGTCTAATAATTCCTAGATAATTCTAAAAATGACAGTTTTCAATGAACTTTGAGCTAAAAAAAGAGTTTTGCTAAAAATGAAGAGCTAAAAATGAATGCTAAAAATGAAGAGTTTTGAGCTAAAAATGAAGAGTTTTAAGCTAAAAATGAAGAGTTTTAAGCTAAAAGTGAAGAGTTTTAAGCTAAAAATGAAGCGTTTTGAGCTAAGTGAAGAGTGCTAAAAATGAAGAGAGCTAAAAATGAAGAGTTTTGAGCTAAGAATGAAGCGTTTTGAGCTAAGTGAAGAGTGCTGAGCTAAGAATTTCTTCTTCTTCTTCTTCTTAGCATTAACCAGCTATAACCTCCAGTGGAAAATTCTGGTTGTTCGTACACTTCTGGAACTAGCAAAGAGTTCAAATTTTGATGCTGATTATATGTGCTTCTTTTCTTTCCACTAATCTAGAAGAGTTATAATCAAAAAAACCAACCAGCATACACGAAACAAGCAAAACAGAAAAAACTACTATTGTCTTTAACAATAATGGGTGTAATAGACTATGTATGTACATGTGTGGTTGTATTTAAAATTCATTATAAAATAACATTCGTGATAAAATAATAATTGTTATAAAAGTCATCTCTTATTTAAATTCCTTTTTTGGGATTGCATCCCGAAAGACTGGGACCCAGTGACTTCAAGAGTTTGGGATTTGAAACCAGAGGAGAAATTTCCAGACATCCTTCTGTAACAGTATAAAACAGCTTTAATGTGACACTCTATGATAAGAGGGAGTCGCCGTGGCGTAGCAGCTAACGCACGAGTGCTGATCGGAAAGTCGTGGGCTTGCTCCCTGGCGGAGCCGGACTTTTTGCTCAAAAATGACCTTGACTCTCAGGTAGACCCAGCCTTGAGTGGGTACCGGGTGCAGTCCCGGGAAGAAAAGGAAGCTGACATGATGCTGACCACATCACCCATATTGTACCGATTGGTCTATAAAAATATAGGTCTAGCCCTATATGCCCTATACGCCTAAAGGCGTGGAAAAGGTACCTTTATTATTTACTTTTTCACTATAGCAAAAAGTAACCAGCAGTCCAATGAACGCGTTCCTCGTATTTAATGGCCTCTTTCTGAACTACTAAGTATATTCCCAAGAACTGTGGATGATAATACCTTGTTCCCCTGAAAATAAGACCGGGTCTTACATTACGTTTTTCAGATACAAAAATCTACATTCATTTAAGTATGAAATTCTACATTTATTGAAATAAAGTCATGACACTTTCTCGAACATGGCCATAACCCCCCAAAGACAAAATTATGGCATGAAGCTCCTCGTGTGATTTCAGTTCATGTTAGAACTAGGGTTGTACCGAATATTCGCTTCGGGGCCCAATAGTGTACCTATTCACTATTCGGTATTCGGCCGAATAGTTGCGGTCGGGCCCAATAGTAGTTACCTTACACCTGCTTCTGCATACATGGGCTTAATGCTGACAACATGGAACGATTGGTTTTGTTGAAAGCTAATGCAGTTTTCCTGCATTAACTAAGCTGTCAGTGACAATTTCCAAGATTAGTTACTTGTTATAATACTTAGGATTCTTTCAATCCTAGTTATTAGTCACCACAGACTCACTGAAGAATGCAGATTGTGAAGATAAGGCCAGCCAGAGAGATGAATGGAGACGAGTGATATCTGCAGCAGTAAACCTCAAGGGCTCAGAATGCTGAAGATAAGATGACTATTCTGTGCTACTTTATATGAAGTAAAAGTTCAGCGTACATTTGACATTATAAATGTTTTTCCTTTAGATATATTTTATACACTATAAACTATTCATATTCGTATTCGGCCGAATAGTTGGTCCCGCTATTCGTATTCGGCCGAATAGTGAAAAATCACTTTTCGGCACAGCCCTAGTTAGAACCATTAGCCCCAGTCTCTCATGATCTTAACTGGGGCTTATGCCTGGGGTAGGACTTATTTTAAAAGCATCCAAAAAATCTCAGTAGGACTTTTTGGGATAGGTCTTATTTTTCAGGGGAAAATGTCACAACATATTGGCCACTTGACTTGGGGGAATGTATAGTTTAGTTAGTTGGGTTATCCTCAATAGTAATGTCACATAGGTGCTCAGACGATATGAACCCCTTGCTAGGCTGATAGTACCATCTATGGATTCAAATTCTGCGTAGCAAGATGGATGCGTATAATTTCCCAAGGCATTCTGGCGAGTGATGTCGATCATGACCAAAGTCCTCTATTCTTCCCATTTCTCTGAGGGTGATGTTCTAGAAAGGGGGACCGCGGCAGTTTTGATTAGCCAACCTGACCAACTCTATCTATTGGGGAAAAACTATAAACTTACAAAGCAGTAATCACAATAACGTCTTACGTGCTAGGCGAGATTAGTCAGATATACAAGATGGACACGTTAGACCCAAGGCTCCGGTGTCGATCATGAGAACAAGGGTGTGTTCTAGAAAGGGGGACGCTGCGTTTTGATTAGCTACATGACCAACTCTACCATTTGAAAAACTATAAAGGCACAAAGCATGAATCACATCTGTCTTACGTGCACGAATTAGTCAGATATACAAGCAGACACTTAGATAGGCAGGCAGATATAGAACGACAGGCAGATAAATAAATAGGCAGACAGACGGATAAAAGGACAGATGAAAAGATAGAAAATTAGAAAGAGATAGACAGCAGGCAGACAGACAGATAGATCGATAGATAGAAAGACAAATAGACAGACAGATAAATAGATAGATAGATAGATAGATAGATAGATAGATAGATAGATAGATAGATAGATAGATAGATAGATGGATGGATGGATGGATGGATGGATGGATGGATGGATGGATGGATGGATGGATGGATGGATGGATGGATGGATGGATGGATGGATGGATGGATGGATGGATGGATGGATGGATGGATGGATGGATGGATGGATGGATGGATGGATGGATGGATGGATGGATGGATGGATGGATGGACAGATAGACAGACATACATATTAGTTATGTAGATTAGACAGATTAGTTAGACAGACAAACGGACAGATATATATGCATACAGTTATGAGTTAATCAGATAAAACAGGACAAATAAAACTAACCTCATACAACTTTTTGTCTGAGTAATACAGAGTCAGTGTGTGGCTATCTGTGCAGACTCGAACCTAAACAACAAACACGGATACTCCGCACTCCGGCCTAATATAATCACTCAATCACACACATCAGTCAATGTTTTCAACACACTTCAATCAGTGTATATCACTCCAACTTAAAATAACAATTCCAAAAAAAAAAAAAATAACTGTAAGTCACAACACACCAGACACACAAGTTACACCAAAAAGTGACAGATGTCATAATACTCCGTCTTCGTCCACAATATGAAAGTTGGCGGGCAAATTTATTCTGATCTCGCATGTCTGCTTGGATTGTTTGTTCACAGAAACTTTGTGAAACTTGGCACTACCTGCTGCAGGTGATAGTTTTGGATTGTACCAGCGGAAAGGGTGAGTTTCGTGCACAGCGCTGGAACGCTCACGTGAACATAGTGGAGATAGGCGAAGTTCGTTCTGGCTGGTGGATCGTTTGTCAGTGTAGATGAACACTGCCCTGTGAAAATTTTGAATATATGTTTGACAAAGTCTGGCACAAATACAAATGTTCTGTAGAAAAAATATTTATAATTAAAAATCAAAATAATAATAAACTATTCTTCTTCTTCTTCTTCTTCTTCTTCTTCTTCTTCTTCTTCTTCTTCTTCTTCTTCTTCTTCTTCTTCTTCTTCTTCTTCTTCTTCTTCTTCTTCTTCTTCTTCTTCTTCTTCTTCTTCTTCTTCTTCTTCTTCGCGTTTACCAGCTGTAAACTCTGGCGGAAGGTTCTGGTTGCTCGTCCACTACTGAACTGCAGTCCTGCTCCAGAACCTGAGTGTTGCGTGTGCATCAGTTTTACAGATCACATTCTCTTGAATACAGACTGTTGGTTCCTTGCCTCTCCGACAGATGCACTCCGACTTCAAAGGAAGCTCCCCAATTAGTCGACTCTTACGACATGCTTTTGGGGAGGCAGTGGGTCTATTCTTGTTTTCCCCACAATGGGGTCCCGGAACCCACACAAGCACTCTGGTAATCGAGGATCCTCAAACTGATAAACGCGCTCACTAACCTCTTCATAGATAAAAACTTAACACAAAAAATGGCCAGATAAATTCAGACATCGTCATCATTTTCATCATCAATGTTCACTACTGTCGTTAAAAGTTGTGGAGGAGTAATCTGGTAATCCTAGTTTCAGCTTCATAGAAAACGGGTCACCCCATAGTTGCTCCGCTCCTGTGTCAACGAAAAACACACGTAGCTCACAGTGTCACGCCATGCACTCAACTCAGAAGCTGGGCGACGAAACTATTTCCTGTGGAGGAGTGGGGGGAAGGAATCGTTTGCGACATATTGCCAGTGTCGAGGGTGGACGCTCTCTAATGTTATCAATCCATAGTCTCCTAGGATGGCCTCTAGATTTCACTTAAAAATTTTTTTTGTGTGTGTAGTGCCTGTTTTGGCAGTTGTCTGGCTGTATTCCTATTGGACGACCATAATATCAAATCTGCTGTTTCTCAGCGAATATGCTACACGGGGTTGTCCTACAGTCTGTCTGATAATACAATTTCTAACTTTGTCACGGATGGTTAAATGTTAATTTTATGTGGATTAGTCTTTGATAATGCCCAAGTCTGGCATTGACGGCAAAGTGTTGGTATGAATATGCTGTTTATAACCTGTTTCTTAGCGCTCTTGTTTATGACATTTTACACTCAGATATTTCCTCTGCCCAACTGGCAAGTCATGTTTACATAGTTGAGAGTTAAGAACCGTCATCATGGCCAGGGAAGAGTCTCCCTACTGATGCCACTCGTTGTCATCTGGTTAACACTCGACAGACTATATTCCATGTTGTTCATTATTAAAGACAGTGTCCAGACCATCAGTGCATCCCACGTTACCCGACGGTCAGCACGAGTGATGTCATCATCTCCATGAATGGTGTGTGGAGTAACTGCGATAGACGTACAGACAGTCCGCTTTGCGTCAGCCATTGAATATTACCCGACTTAATCTTCGTCAGAAAGATTATCCCAGCCTTGGATAATGTTAACAACCACAGTTGAAACTGCATAAACATTCTTCAAATGGCTGTGGATGCACATTGGGATCTCGCCTTCAGCATAGAGGAATTCTATGACATTACGTTGTTTTATCCAAACTAATTTGGAAGCCATTTCCAAACCCGTTACAGTTTAAAGTGGTGCCACCTGTTACTCAAACCGGTGGCTTATGCTATACAGTGCAGAGGAGTGTCTGAAGAATCCTGTTAGATTTACAACTTGCACGCCGATACAGTATTTACACTGACAACAAATATGAGGCATTACTTTTTTTTTACTGTTCCTCGTATACTAATTTGTTTTAGTATCCAGAAGCCATGAGTTGTTAACCCTTAGGCTCGGTATTATGGATATCGCAACCTTTCGGCATTGATTCCATTGTAAATACCGTAAATCTGGGAGGAAATGTGGTTTCTCTGCCTATCCCAGGGAGTGAACCCGGACCACAAGGAGTTCGTCATCCGGTCTCCGCGCAATCCGGTTTAGCCAACTACGCTAGAGAGCCGGGCGTTCCTCGTATACTAATTTGTTTCTTTCATGTGAGGAGGTTAACTGGTTCTTCAGGATTATGTCCTGGATGGGAAGTGATCTAGTGGGTTTTAATTACTGCCTTGATCTGAGTAGTAGTAGTAGTAAGTAAGTTTTACCCCACCACTACATCACACAGAGCGATAAACACCTGGTGACACAAAGTG